TGTGTTTGACACCGTAAGCTCATCATTTTGGACTGTAATAACTAAAAAGGCCGCCTCACTAAGAGAAAATGGGCCGTTTTCTCTTCTGGCCCCAGGTGAGCCCAGCCATCAAGGACAGACCCCAAGTGGGAAGCCCTCCTCCAGGATGGGGGGAGGACATGTTTTGGTTGACAGAATTGGTTCTCCAGAAAAGCTCTGCATCTGCTAGAGATCAGCAGCAGACTGTCCAGAGAAATGGATTTTCTTCCTACCTACATACTTCCTTCATCCTGTAATCAGGGCAGAAGTAAGAAAATCCGCTAGTTTCTCATCAGGAAATGCTACTCCACTCCCATCGGGACCCCCACCCATCCCCACCAGCACCGTGCAGGGGACCCAGCTGGTTTGCTGAAGTGTCAGTGATTTGTAATTGACTTGTCGTCTCATGGAATTTTTTTTCACATATGGGCCTTTGGGGCCTTAACCCAAAGGAATGTGAAAGATGTTGGAGCTTAATTGGTCCTTTAGGTACAGAGCAAAGTTCTCCATTTCGGGCAAGCCCTATCAAGTTAATCCTTATACTCTTTAAGTGCAACCTGAATGGGGAAATAGTTCTCTTCTGCCACAGGACTCTTTTTAATAGACGTTATTTCTTAGGACAGTTTAGGTTTGCTGCAAAAGTGAGTGAAGAGCACACAGAGCTCCCATATGCCGCCCCCTCCCCACGGGAACAGCCCCCTGCATTACCAACGTTTCCTACCAGAGTGGGACTTCTGGTGCAACTGATGATCCTACATTGACGTATTATAATCGTCTAAGCCCGTAGTTTACATTAGGGTTCACTGTTGTACATTCTCTGGGTGTGGACAAATGCATAATAACATGTATCCGCCAATACAGGACCATACAGAATAGTTGCACCGCCCTGAAAATGCTCTGCGCTTTCCCAGTTCACCCGCCCTTCCCAGAATCCCTGGCAATCACTGATCTTTTTACTGCCTCTCTAGTTTTTCCTCCTCCAGAACATCATGTACATGAAATCATGCAGTATGAAGCCTTTTCAGAGTGCCTTCTTTCACTTAGTAATATGTATTTATGTTTCCTCCATGTCTTTTCGTGGCTTGAAAGTTCACTTTTTAGTACCGAGAAGATGGCCATCTGTGACGCAGGCAACAGGCCCTTACCGATACCTTGAACTTGGACTTCCCATCCTCCAGAACTGAGAAATAAATTTCTGTTGTTTGTAAGCCACCTGGTCTATACCATCCAAGCTGGTTTAGACAACCACCTTTAAGATGTGATTTGCATGCAATAAACTGCACATATTTAAAAGCTTTATTGAGGTATAATTTACATACTATATGATTCACTCATTTAGAACGTATAGTTGAATAATTTTTAGTGTATTCACAAAGTACACACATATTTAAAATGTATAACTTGGCACATTTTGACATATATACATATCCCTGTAATCATCGCGATGATTAAGATAAGTATCCATCACTCCCAGAAGTTTCCTGATTGGTCATTTCTTTCCCCACCTCCTTGACAACCACTGATCTGCTTTCTGTCCTAGAATGTCGTTTGCATTTTCAAGAATTGTAGAGAAATAAAAACATACAGTATGTACTCTTTTTTTTCGTTTGTTTTTTTGGTCTGGCTTCTTCTGAAACTCAGCATAATTATTTTAAGACTCATTTATGCTGAAGTATGGCATCAATAGTTTATTTTTGTTGTTGTTGCCGAGAAGTATGCAACTGTGTGATTATACTCTAGTTTGTTTACCTGTTCACCTGTGCATGGAAAAGGTGGTGTTTGGGGCTGTTACCGAGGAGCTGCCACGAACATTTATGCACAAGTCTTTGTGTGACTGCGCTCTCATTCTTCAAGGGTGAATGCCCAGCAGTGGCACAGCCGGATCTTATTGGAGAGCACATGCTTCCCATGTGAGGACACTGTCCAGCCCTGTTTCAAAGTGGCTGTAGTGTTTTGCTTGCCGTCCAGAGGTGTATGAGACTTCCAGGGGCTTCCCCTGGCCCCCTGTGTGGTCAGCCGTTGAATCGTAGCCATTCCATCAGGTCAGATCGGGAGTGGTGTGCCTCACGGTGTAAACTCCGGCGCTCCTCCCCTCCCGGCATGGCTTCTCTAAGCCTTTGTTCCTGCTCTGCCTGCAGCCGTGGTGCCTCTCTGCCAGTCCCTCCTCTTTGTTAAACGATCGTCCTTTAACGTTCAGCCCAAGTGCTCCTGGTCCCCCGGGTTGAACAGAAGTCTGTCTCTGCGTATAGACACACCCATGGATTTCTGTGGACAATTTGCCTCAAAGCATGTCTGTGCGGCAATGAGATCCCCGTCTGCATGGCTGTCTGTCCCACTCCGGGATGGAGACCTAACGCAGAGCGCGACCCCTCGTAGCTTTGTTGTAATGAAAGCGAGACAGGACTCACCCCCCTGTGAGTGGTACTCTGTCTGTGTGACTTGAAAAATATGGCTCTCGTTTTCTTGTGTAAAGAGAGCTGTTCTTTTTTTTTTTAAAGATTTTATTTATTTATTTTTAGAGAGAGAAGGGAGGGAGATAGAGAGAGAGAGAGAAACATCAATGTGCAGTTGCTGGGGGTCATGGCCTGCAACCCAGGCATGGACCTTGACTGGGAATCGAACCTGCGACGCTTTGGTTCACAGCCCGCACTCTATCCACTGAGCTACACCAGCCAGGGCAAGAGAGCTGTTCTTATAGGAATTGCTATTTGAGATTTATTGATCAGAAACAAGGTAGAGCTATGGTAATATTTTAAAATGAAATGAACCACTGCCCTCATTCTTAAAAACATCCTTCAGTCATAGAGGGTGAAATTATAAATGAGGCCAGAGAAACTCATGAACCTCAAGGGAAGTAAATTTTGTCTGACTGAGAGTCGCCCAGCCTGTCTTCACTTTACGATCTTAAGGTCTCCTGTGTCCAAGGATTTTAAAGCATTTTCGAGCACACTAGAATTAGTCATTATGCCTGTGATATTTTGTTTATGTTGGTGAGTGGCGAGGGGGCAGGGTTGAAAATCGATCTCAAGCAGCCTCTGAGAAATCCTCCGTGGCCAATACTACCTGCAGGTTCTCCAGCTCCACATATAATAGTCTGTCTGAGGTGGTTTTTACAGGTTCACAGGAGGGAGGCAGAGCCATAAAAGAGTGAGCTGCTTCCCAGGACCCTGGTTGCTGGTAATAAGGGGATGATAAACAGCTTAAGTTTCAAAGTCCGATTAGAAATCGAGGCTGTGGAATTTGGAGTGATTGTCCCTGAGGCTTTAAAGCCTGTGGCTTGGGCCTGCTGTGCAGCGACAGTGGGTCTCGGTTTCTAACCCAGAGCCAAGTGGCAGCAGAGCACAAAAACAAGCAGTGCCTTCCGGGGCTGCGGACTCTGCTGCAGCGATGCCTGGGGTTAACCAGCAACTGAACAACGGACTGAGCTGGAAGGAAGCGCCAGAATGTGGGAAAGCCTAAGGCGATCTGGCTGACTCATCAAAATTGTTCCAAAATAGTTCTCCTGTAGTGGGTTTTGTTCCAAAGCAAGGTAACACCATCCATCATGAGCTAAATAAAGCCCTAGGAAGATCAATACGGCCATGGTAAGACGAGAACGTTTATGATTAAAGCCGATGGCAAAATGACCCGCGCAAGGATACTGGGCAAAGCGGCGCTTCTCAAATTCCCATGTGCGCACTACCCACCCGCGAGTCTTGTGAAAGTGGGGGTTTGAATTAAGTGGGCCCCGGCTGGGGCCTGGGAGCTGCATTTTAAAATAGCGCAGGGGTGGTGCTGTTCTCAGACAACACTTTGAGTTGCAAATGCAGAGACTTAAGTCAATGGCTTGCTTTTCCCTCTTTTATAACAGATCATGAAATGGCCCTCTTGTAAAGCTCTCTGACAACATAAATGTCCGCTGTTTAACAGTCCTGTTCATTTCTGGGGTTATAGAAATCAAATTCTGATTTCTGCCTCTGCTTTAAGAGCAAACAGAAAGGGGCTGGAAATTTCTTCATTAATGGCATCATGCAAAAGTCATTAAAAAAAAAAACCCTTCCAGATTGAGTTCTTTATTTTAGGACTGAAAATGTCATACCGTTTATGTTGCTGATGCTTCTGATTACTGAGTGAGGTTAAGTCAAATCCAGTATGTTGCCTACATGTAACAGGAGTAACAGTAGCATTTTAAAAAATTTTAGCTGGGTGTTCCACAGAACAGTCACTTTTCTGGCTAAAAGTCGAAAGCAATAGCTGCCTGATCTGAGTATTAGATGGTCTTCTAGTCCAGGATCATCCTGTGTTTGAATAGACATTATCAAGTGGTTGTTTAAGGCACAGATTTTGAAGCCAAACTCTGGATGCAAATCCAGTGAGTCCCACCATTTACTGACTGTATACAATGGTTCTCACCTGCACAGGGCACTCTGCACACTGCAGATGCTATTAGATTAAGTTAATATGATTCATAAAGCTCTTAGAACAGTACTGGGCACAAATTCGAGCTATATAAATGTTTGTTAACTATATGACTAAAATAAAGAGTTAATGTGATTCCCTGGCTGGTGTGGTTCAGTGGATTGAGTGCCAGCCTGAGAACCAAAGGGTTGCTGGTTCGAATCCCAGTCAGGGTACATGCCTGGGTTGTGGACTAGGTTCCCAGTAGGGGGTGTGTGAGAGGCAACCACACATTGATGTTTCTCTCCTTCTCATTCTCCTTCCCTCCCCCTCTCTCTAAAAATAAATAAATTAAATCTTTTTTAAAAAGACTTAATGTTATGTCTTAGTTGCTGTGTGGAATCCAGCAGGCCTGTTTTTCTTTTTACCAATTAAATATCACTCTGCAAGGCTTTTGCAGCAGGTAACTGGGTCTGAAAGAAAGGGAATTTCAGTCAACAAACAGGGAATCCCTCCCCCCACGCCAAAAAAAAAAATCATGAAATGTAGGAGTTCACTAATGTCGCTTATTTGGATAGACTCATCTTGGTCCTTTGGTTTTGCAGCTGGTGATGTATATTGGCCAGGTGGCCAAGGATATCTTGAAGTGGCCCCGCCCCTTTTCCCCTCCCGTCGTGAAACTGGAGAAAAGAATGATTGCTGAGTTTGGAATGCCCTCTACCCACGCCATGGCGGCCACTGCCATTTCCTTCACCCTCCTCATCTCTACCATGGACAGGTACCAGGTAAGGCGCCTGACTCCTCTCCCTCTGGTCTGAGCCTCTCCATACGGTGAGACTGCAGAGAGAGGTCTCACTTCCAAAGATTCTTTTAAAGCTGCTTTGAGGGACTTGGAGGTGTATGGAATGAACCCTGGGGGGAACTGGAACCTATTGAGCTGTCCATGACAATTTCTTCCTGAGTCAAGTAGCCCTGTATAGCATCCAGATCAGGTTATGCCTGAGAAGGGTGGTGGACACCAGCAAAACAGGGACAATTCGGGAACCAGGGCGTGTCGCTGCCCCCTGCAGAAAGTATTTCCCCCCAGAGCTGCCTGCTGAGACCACACTTAAATCAGTTTTCTCATCCCGTCTGCAACAGACATGGGGCATTTCTCATCCTCGTACATGATCGATCATCCAGAGGTGAGGTGAGGCCACCAAATCCTCCTGCTAAACTTCCCAGGGTGGGGGGCAAGAGAGTGTGCCCGGAATTATTCCCCAAAGATGCCTCTGCACCACATTGGGGCTCAGCCATTAGACATAATGGCTCCTTGTTTTCTAGACTAGTCTAAATGACAGGAGATCAATAAATGCTGAAAATAGAAGAATTTCACTTAACATGTGCTTAGACGCCAGTTACAGTCAGGCCTTTTGAAAGTTATATCATTACTGCAGTGAAGTTTTATTTTGTCTGTCTGGGAACTCTTGGTCTAGTTTGTGTTAAATTTCATAATTAATTGTCGTAATTTTACCTTTGCTAGAAAATGTGGATTTCATTAAATCTAGCAGTATTATTCATAAATGATAGTCTTGTTTTGCCCTGCCCTATACCCAAGAAACACAGGGACATTCTGCATTCCAGATTATACAGAAAGGGAGGAGTCAGCCCCGATACGATTGGAAGAGGACGAGATTAGCATTGGGTCCTGGCTTGGCTGTCATCTACCTGTTCACCTGGGGTTAGACCTAACTGGGGAAGGGGCGAGTATAGGAATATCTCCAACCAAGTATAACCTTGTGTCATAACTTGCTTTGTCAGGCTAGGATCAAAAAAATGTCTGAGTGCCCCAGTCCTGTCTGAATTGATTTAAAGCAGACTCCTGAGCTGTGTCTTGCACAGTGACCTCTATCTACCCCGGAAGGACACAGTGGGCCCTGCACTGGCCCCCACTGGGCTGCTTGCAGCACCCAGAGCGCCTGCGAACATGCTGATTCACTCCGGAAAAAGCAGCCAGTGGAGGCCAGGTGCAGGGAGACAGCACCATTTGAACACGCGATGGAGGCCACCGGGGCCTTCCTAAAAAATTCTTTTTAGATCCCATGATGCAACAGTTTTTTTTTATTCTTATAAATATTTTATTCTTTCAACAGAACTAAAACATTTACTGAGTTTCACTGGGTAATATGTTCCCCATTCACAGGTTCTTTTCAAAAAACCTGCCCCCACCTCCATTTCTGTCTTATCAGTATGGTTCATAGAGAATATTTGACTTAAGGCTGAATCTGTTTTCTCAATTTTTCAGTGTCTCTTTTTAAAAATTATTTTATGGTTGTTCAATTACAGTTGTCTGTGTTTACTCCCCCACCACTCCCCCCTGACCCCAGCCAAACCCACCTCCCTCCCTTGCTTCCACCTGCCCCCTTGGTTTTGTCCATGTGTCCTTTATAGTAGTTCCTGAAAACCTTCCCCTCTTCCCCCATTGTCCCCTGCCCCCTCCCCTCTGGTTACTGTCAATTTGGTCTTAATTTCAGTGTCTCTGGTTATATTTTGCTTGCTTTTTTCTTTTGTTGATTAGGTTCCAGGTAAAGGTGGGATCATGTGGCATTTGTCCCTCACCGCCTGGCTGCAACAGTTTTCATAAGGCTTGAATTGTAGTGTTCTTTCCTATTTAATTTTAAGGATAACTGTATTTAGCTGTTTGAGTTATTGCTTCTAAATAGCACTAAAGATGGATTTGTTTGTATAAATACCTGTTGGACCTAATGCCTAGACTCTAATTTCAGAATGCATCCATTTATTCATGTTTAGCACTCTTGATGACAGACTGACACCCAGCTGATGATAGATCTTAAGAAAAGGCACACGGCTGTGTGTCACTGTGCTCACATGTTACACTGGAAAGAATATGCGGGCCTTGGTCTCAGACCGTGTGGCTTCAGGTTCTGACCCTGTCACTTCGGGCCATGCGACCTTGGGAAAGTCATTCTGCCTCTCTGAGCCCCAGCTCCTGTTTTCAGGATCAAACGTGATGATTGATGGGGAAGCATGTTTGTGCTAAATTTTAACACTAATGTAGCTTATTGTGGTTAAGGGTTTCTTCCTCTGTAGAATGCGGCTAATTATAGAACCTACTTTCGTAGCGTTGGATGAAGATTAAATGAGATTGTGACTGTAAAGTGCATTGTATAATGCAGACCATTTTCTTATTCTCTTTATTCTTCTCCGTGGAAGGCCAGACTCATGAGTCCTTGGAGCACGGGGATGATAGCCCTATGTCTAGATTATAAGCAGAATACTCTCATGTTCCTTATACGATTTGGCATTAGCTGGATTCCCCCAGCTGCTCTCCCACCAGCACATGTTGAGGTTTAGTGAAGTCCGGGCCCCTGCCTTGACATCCGTACACGACCATGCCCTTTCTTAGCTCGGGCCTATCGTCCCTGTGCTTTCTCAGGGAGCCCGTGGTTGCCAAGCTGTATCACCACAGCGCTAGCTTGCCCCTTGTTCAACACTATATACTTCATAAGTTTTACTCTAAGAACAGGGAGAAAGAAATAATTATCTGCTCCTTGAAAATAGCCAGAACAATCGCTGTGGACGAGAGTCTTATAGCCAAGTTCTACTATGTCTTATGTTGTGACACTTCCTCCCCGAACCGTATTCCTAGGCATCTTCCCCCTCATTTCCCAGTTTCCCCAGTTTCCATGATCATCAGCTTGCTGGTCCAGGGCATGCCAGGCTCAGACTGGCAGTTTCTGGACCAGGAGTCCTGCTCCCTCCCGGGGTGTCGATGGCGTGTCTGTGAGCACCACCTAACGTTCCTGTGTCCTCTTCTTCCCCGCAGTACCCCTTCGGCCTGGGGCTGGTGATGGCTGTGGTGTTCTCCACGCTGGTGTGCCTCAGCAGGCTGTACACGGGGATGCACACGGTGCTGGTAAGACTTCGTGGTTGGGCCTGGGGATCGTGGTCTGCGTAGCATGGTGCCTGGTGTGTCAGGCTGTGCTTCACACAGTGTTTTTATAAAGTTATTTGCATATGTAATTACATTTCACATCAGGCCAGTGAATGGAGTATAATTATTATTTTTTGGCACATCCATAATAACAATAAATTATTAAGATAGCACCAAGGAGGACGAGCTGGGCTAGAGCCTTGTGACTTTGAAGATTGGCTGAAGCAGTGACGGAGACGTGGGTCATTCATTTGCAGGTGGGGTCACTGCTGCTGAAGCAGGCAGTGCAGGAACACCACCCAGGGCCGAGGATGTGATGAGCGGACTCGGTTTCCCCTTAGGTCCTCACAGAGATGGGCCTGAATTTCAGGGGTCTCCGCTGCCTTTCCAGAACAGCCCAGCCTCATGGGCTTACTTTCGTCCATACTGTTCTAGGGAGGTAGTGGGGGTACAAAGATACACACATTTATTTATACACTCATTTTAAGGCCTTCTTAAAGAATTCTTTGCAGCTCACGTGAATTCTTTTCATAAGGCCTGGGTTGTTGTCTTCATTCCTGCTTAATTCTTCATGATCAGTGTATGTAGCTGTTTGGGTAATTATTGCTCAAGTACGGTTATCTGCATTTAAAGATATGTCCACCCTTTTATGCTATTAGGACTTTTTCCTGGGCTGCCATGCTGAGTACAGTTACAGTTACGTAGGATTCCGTTTCCTAGTGTACCTGCCCACTGCCTTGAGGTTCCAGAGCCTGAGGCTGGCCATGGTTCACCCAGGGCACTATTAGCATTGTCATTGGTACAAGAAAGGTTTCTTTAGAAAGGAACAGGCCCTTGCTAATTGTGTTCCTGTCCATCTGAAGCTCAAAAATTGCATTGGCAAAAGACTCCCATAGGAATGGGGGATGGCCACCTTTCACTGGCCCTTTTGTGTCTTCCTGGTGCCCTAGAGTTGGTTACCCTGGGAAAGTGGTGGGAGGGGGTCATGGGCAGAGCAGGAGGGCAGACGGACCGAGGAGGGTTTGTCAGAATGCCTGGAGGCAGAGACCAGGGCGGAAGTCAGCCCAAAGCAAGGGGGCTCGTGGCTGCGTGAGATCAAGGAGCCGCTGCAGGTTTTCCTCCTGAAAACGCAGGTGCCACCTCAGAGGCAAGCGGGCAGGTGCCCAGAGTGACTGGAGTCAGGAACAGCACAGAATGGACGGGGTGCCAAACAGGCAATCAGGAGAAATGGTTTGAAAGTGCTACTTCAAGAAACCAAAATTAATGCAAAAAACACCCATAGTAAGCAAAATCTGCACATTTCAAATAAAGACCAGCTCCAACCCTGCACAACTCAGCCTCGGTGCCCCGCCCTAATCCTGGCCCCAACCCCCAGGGCTTGATAATACAACAAAAGTAGGGGACATGCTGTCTATTCTGCTCGCCACAGCCTGTGCCTGCTGCCCTGTCCCACTGCACGGCGTGTCTGGTGGCTTCTAAGAAAGACAAAAGGGGAGACAGGCATTCTCAATTTGCTACACCCCTACTTCCCATTAGGAGGAGGTTCCCTCCGACTGTCTCCATAGACTGAACTATGGAGCCAAGAGAACTTTCTTGGGGGTTTGGGTATTTCTTTTATCTGGGCCTGCTTCTCAACTTTCATAGGCTTTAGTAAAAACTGATCTTGGGAACTCAGGTTAAAAATTAAAACCACAGTAAACACAAGGATGTGAGAGGCAGATGTGGATGGAAGGCCCCGAAAACCCACCTCAGTAAAACACAGCGGTATGGCTTCCCTTCCCTTGTCAAGTGGGCTGTGGGGACGGGGAAACAAACATTTGTGGGGAAGATCATTCAGGCTTCTCATTCGGGTGTGAGGGCGGGGCACAGCCACCCTTTTTGGAGCATCTGACCTGGAAGAAAGCAGAGTGAGGGGCCATGGTCTCGTTCTTCCTGCCACCATCCCGTTCCCCATCTGTGCTGGGGCTTCTTTAACGTGAATGGTTTTAATTCATAAAGACTGTAGCCCCCAACTCAGGCCCAGGCCCCCAGCAGGGCCGTAGGCAGGGCCCAGGGTCCAACGGTACCTAATTTCTAGCAGCAGAAGGGAGCAACTGGTCTTAATGGTCAGATATAGTTAGATGGTGGGTTGGTGGCCTTCTTCATTCAGCAGTAACATAATAAGCTCCTGCTGGATGCCGTACTCGGAGCTGGATCTGGGAGATACTGAGGTAGCAAAACCGACCTCACCCACCTGAGGCTTCGAGTTTGTTGATGGAGACAGACATGGAAGATCTGATCACTGGTTGTGACAAGTCCTTGAAACAGAACAGCTGGATAGAGCCAACTAAGGGGACATGCCTCTCCCCTCACAATCTCTGGGGACCACCCTGCACTCATGGTCCTCAGCCTTTGCTGCCTTCCATTGGAATCCCATGGAGAGCTACTAAAAACTATGGAGCTGTCTGGAGACCCCTGTTTATAGCAGCAGCATTACTCTAATAACAAAGGACGGAAGCCCCCCAGGGGGTCCCTGACAGATGACCGGATAAACAGCATGGGGCCCACCCACACAGTGGATTGTCATCCCTCCTTGAAATAAAGGAAGAAATCCTGACACGTGCTCCAACTTGGACGAGCCTTGAAGACCTAACGCTAAGTGAACTGACCAGTCACAAAAGGGCGGATATTGTTTGATTCCACTTACAGGAGACACTTAGAAGAGTCACGTTCACAGAGACAGAAAGAGACCGGTGTTGCCTGCGGCTGAGGGGAGGGGCTGTGCGGAGTCGTTGAAGGGGCCCAGAGTTCCAGTTCAGGGCGATGAAACAGTCCCGGGGTCAGACAACTGCGATGGTCACATGACAGTGTGAATGCATTTAATGCCTGAACCGTACTCTTTAAAATGGTTAAGATAGTAAATTTTGTTATGTGTTTTTTTGTTTTTTATTTTTTACCGCAGTTATATGTATGTGAGCATCCTGGGCACTGGTGATTTTTTCAAAACTCCTCAGTTGATTTTAATGGGCAGCCATGGTTGGGAGCCACTGACGAGGCTAATTACTCTTTAGAGTGGGGCGTGTGTGTGTTCCCGAGCAAAACCAGAGTTGGAGGGTGGAGGGAAGGTGGAGACAGCCGCTGTGTAGGCGCCCACAGCGCGTGAGTCACCCAGGTGGTGCCCGCTTCATGTGCGTGGTTCTCTGGGCAGGAAGGGGGAGAGCAGTTCACCGGGAGCTTATCTCACCGGTGATGAAACCACTCCCTGTCAGAGGCGGGTGGCTTGCTCTGATGGTAATGCTTCTGGACAGGCTCCAGCTGACTCCTGGGCAGTTCCGAGCAAATCAGAGGAGGCCCTGAACCTGCATGTACTGTCACCGTCCTGCCAAACCGGCTCTGGCACAGCCTCTACCTACCCAGATGCCTGCATCATACACCCAGGCACCCCCTGGCCCCTCCCTTCCCACTCCCACCCCATCAGCCAGGCAGTCACCACGCCCAATTAATGCTGACTCTTAAAGATGTCTTAGAACTGTCTTAGAACACCACTTAGAACACCAGTGGTGTCTTAGAACACCACTGCCAGGATAGTATTTCCAAATCTGCTTAGGCTGGTCCATGCATGGAGAAGTTCCTCCATCTCCTGCAGGGTAGGGATGATGACGTAGGTGGTCCCAATGGTGAGCAGCACCCACTGGGGCCCCCAGTGGAATCAGCCTCTGAGAGATGTCAGCCCTACTCCTGGCAAACATGGAGATAGAACATAGGAGTCTTGGTGATATTCTACATTCTTGAGCTGTTGAATATACTGTACCCAGGGCCACCCTTCCGCTAGGCATACTATTCAAGGTAAAATTTCCTTATTGCTCCAGGGGATTGTTTTTGAGGTCTTATATTTCTCATAGTGAAAAGTATCCTAACCAGTGACTTACAGAGACAGATTTTTGGTGTATAATCTCATGTTCTCCTGGTCTGAGGAGTAACACCAATTGCAGTCTTGGAAGGACTGGGTAGCTCCTGGAATCCATCATGGATGGGGTCACATAAATAAGCCTCAGGAAGGGCCAGAACCAGGGAGGTGGTGCCTGCATCTTCCCCTCCCTTCAGAGTGCCAATGCACACAGAATCCAGCCCTGACCAAATTCGCTCTCAGATCAAAACCTTAATTAACTTCCTGAGAAGTTACTTAAGACACACCCCTGGACCAGTAAGCCTTGGCAGAGTGACAGGGTCATGGCAGAAAACAGGACCCCAGGAGCCACCCCTGTCTATGGACTGCAAAGGCAGTGCCCAGAGAACCCTTGTCCTAGGCACTAGGACTAGGAAGACGACCTGGGAAGTTCACCACTGTCGGGACCCAGTAAGGTCACCCTCTACCTGCATGAGCCAGGATTTCATGAATGCGAATAACAGAAACTAACTCAAACCTGTTCAAGCCCAAAAGGACCCTTACTGGTTTTTACAGTATAGGCATAGAGGTCTCCAGTCCTACATCTTCACCGGAAGTCTCCCCCACTCTTTCCCAAGCTTCTGTCTGCATGGCGGCCCCACATTTCTGGGCTGCCTTCTCTCCCAGACCACACGCAGGGAGGTCTGGGCTTAAATTCTTTCTGTTTCACTCCTGGAAGCAGTCCAATGGGGAGAATTTCAGGAAAGGTATTTAATTGGCCTGGCCTGGATTACGAGCCCATCACTGCACCAAACGGTATTGAGGGCTGTGTTTGGATCACTGGGTCAGGAGCCAGTCTGTGTAAGCAGGGGCTGTGACGGCGGCCAGGGTTAAGGTTAGCACTGAAATTGGTATGTGGGGGGCCGGGGGGGCGGGGGGCAGGGCAGTTCTCCAAAATGAACTGGGTGTGTCATCAGAAGAAGATGGCAGACAAAAAACCCCCGTGATATTCCACATTGGACATCATTGCAGTTTCCTACACTTTCAAAGACCCCAAAACTGGCCATTTGATTTGTGTTCATGGGGAAAGGACTAGAGCACATCAGGAAGGCTGATC